AACAATCAAGCAGTAAACAACAGCCTAATCAAGGAACTACCAAGGAGAAAACCACACCCCCCACCAACACTGACAGGGCAAGCTGCTATATATAAACAGAGCAAAACCCACTCCCTTCTAGCACTGAAGATATTACTTAGATGGGTAATGAAACGTTTGCAAGAAAACAGTCAAGCTCGGAGAACTCCAATGACTCCACAAATATGAGACTATCATGGTTTTCTAAAAGAATAGGCCTGTATTTGGGCATTATGGTGAACCAAAACTTGATGAATACAGGTTTCTAATGTCATGTTGTCTTGGTATAAACAGGAAAAGTTAACATTAGAACCTTTGTTTCTTGGCCCAGACAAAACAATGAATTGCAATGTAGTTTGTTTATTTTCTGTATTTCTAAAGCACTACACTCCCTAAGGACTCGTGGTAACTTACAACATAATGACATGACAAAGCATTCCAAACAAGGAATATTAAAAAACAGTATTACAAAAATGAAATTATAATTAATTAATTAATTAATTAATGAACGCTTCCAAATGTATCTTGGGGTTGGGAAAGTGGAGGAGATAGCATATTAGCCTAAGATTTGCTGAAGCTTTTTCTTGTATTACTGTATCAATAAAATTCTGAATGTAAATATTTGAGTTAAATATGGCTCTCTAATTTACATGAGATTACATTATTGTTAGATGAAGTCTGTTTAAAAGGAAGTGTTTCTAATGTTTGCAATATAAATGAAAATTCTGAAGTCAGATTGGAACTCTTCAGTGCCATAGAATAGAATTAAAATGTTGAAACTCTGCATTACAAAACCAGGTATAGAAGTATTTAAAATGCAGCATGGGGAAAGAGTTTCATACTGTTTCCTTACCTCCTCTTGAATCTCATTCCTTGTCTATAATGAGTGATTGTCTATAATTCATTATGAGAAAGAATTCTGAAAAGTTTCAACATACTTTAATAGTTTTTTAACCATGCTGTGCCATAACCTAAGGCTTTGATGAGTGCTGTGGAGTCCTATTACCCAGTTTTTAGTCACCGAATGAGATTGGCTTGCAATTTTCTGATATCTTTTATAGTATTTAGTTGAAATTCCTAGCTATTTCAGATTCTGTTGGGAGGGGAGTGGTGGTAATATTGCCAGGCTGGGCTGGTATACCTTGCATTACACAAACTGGTTCAAACTAATTCCTTTTAACAGCTATATGGTAGATGCTGCAGATCGTGAAAAAATAGAAGCTTCTAGAAATGAGTTGCACAATCTTCTAGACAAACCACAGCTACAAGGAATTCCTGTGAGTAGTCAACATATTAGCCCTGCCTCCCATATAAAATTGTAAAGTGAAAATTTTGAAGGAATTGATGAGGAAATTTGTTTGAAATTTTAATTTGTTTAGAAAGTAATTGCATTGTTTCCTGTGGATAGCTTTTTTGAAGTTAATATATTGCTTGTTGAGCCCATCTTTATCATGTAAATCTTTCTTATATTAATTTTTTTTAGTTTCATATATAATGCAAGTTGAAATAGGCCTTCAACTTGCATTACATAAGATATACTCTGGCAATAGACCATAGAAATATACTAAAAATGTAGACCAGTGTACAAGTCACTAAAAGGAGAAGTGGTTTAAAATATCTTGAAGTATTGGGTAAATTATTAAACAGGACAGGAACATCTTGCTTTGCAAGAGAAAGTAAAAGGCTCTGGACTATCAGTGCAGAAAAAGACTGAACTGAAATGATTAACTATTAGCTAATTATTTCTGTCTTGTACTATTCAGCTTCTTGTCTACTATGCCAAATTTTCCTTTTGATTTTTTAAAAATATGTTTATTAGAGTTTTACATACTTAAAAGCTAATGCAGAATTAGAAAAGATATAAAAACAAAAAAGAAAAAGAACAAGAGAAAAAAAGAAAAGAAAATGAAAGGCATATAAAAAGTGATCCCCCCCCCCCTCCAAACAAGTATAAGCATTTACAGTAACTTAGGATCTTCTCTAATATTATAGAAATTTAAAAAATCCTCTTCTTCCTATTTCTCATCACTAAACAAATTATAGAAAGACTCCTCAATTAGTCTTACTCAGCAAAAGCATTAAGAGTACCAGTAGTAATAACCTATGTTTTAAGCTTAGACAAATAAATCTATTTTGCATTTTGACTTATAATTCTCTCTAATAAGTAAGATATAAAAGATTTATCCCCGTAAGTATAAAGAGTATCAATAATAGTAATATAGATATTTTAAACTAGATCCAATAGGTCCCTTTTACATTCTAACCCCTAACTTTCTCTAACAAGTAGGAGACAGAAAATTTATCCCCATATGAAAAAACGTTTACATCGTCTTGCAATCTTGGTCAAAGAAAAGATTCCAATAATAACAACCCACAGTCAAAATTTATACAATTTAACCCTGGTCAGATAAGTCCACTTTGAATTCCCTTTTCTGCTTCTTAAGAGGCTTGATCTTCAGTTGCTTCTTCAAATAAAGTCCCACACGGTGATTTCTTATCATTTTCTCCCTTCTTGGTTTTCAGTAGCAACTTCAGAGATTTAATACTTCCCTTCTGTGGATCCAAAATAAGATCAGTCTTCAAGCCACTCTTCTGATTTATAATCAGAATATCCCTTTTAGTTATTAAAACATCAGCCAGCATAGTTTGTATATCCGTTACAATTTCTTTTTCCATGTCATTCTCGTAGTCTAATATTTTTAAGTCCATTTTCAAATCCACAACATCTTTTTCCATATCTTCCACACCTCTTTTATGGTCTGGCAATTCTTTACAGTCCATTTTAAAATTCCTATTCAAATCATCCCCAGGTTCTGTTTAATCCAGTAGAATCTTTTCTTCTTCTATAACCTCTGTTAGATCCAATTTTAAAAATAAGTCCTGAACAGATTGTTTTACTATAGAAGAATTTAAATCTTTTTGGGAACAGTGTTCCTCCATTATGTAA